CCGAAACTGAAGAACTTCAAGAAGCTAGTTACATTGTATATCCTGATTACATTCTCTCGCTGTTGAGTGTTGTGAATTGTTTGTGTTTCTCACTTTAATGTGCGATTTTATAGCGCTTTCACCCATTCCTGAAACGTCTATAACCTTATCACAAGCGCTATATACACATTGCCTTTCTTTAATCACCCTTGAATTCTTTAATGAAAGGGTATTTTTCTACACATTTTGGCGAGAAATTACACTTCTTCATTTTTTGATGAATAACCCAAACCATTCCGTGAAATTTACACGTCATGAATATTTCAATCGTGTATAAAAGCCGATACCCGTTCCGTACCGTCTTACTATCTCGTTACGAAGTCGTTTTTTTTTAAATTGATGTATATTTGAGTTTTCTTTTTTTCTTTTCTTTTTTTTTTTTGGCCGCTGTTTTACTCATTTTAGTCGTTTTGTGGTACTTAATGAGGAATTCGTGGATTACTGAACAAAATTCACAAGTTTTCTGTAAAATTCAAGGAGTTTTCAAGGACTTTTTCCCTGGACAAAATTCAAGGAGTTTTCAAGGACTAACCACCAAATTCAAGGACTTTTCATGGCCTGTGCGAACCCTGTGAACCTTTTCTACCCATTTTAAAATAACTATATCGAACGTAGGCACTAAAGGTTAAAAATTAAACAGAAAGAGAAAAATGACGTTAGATATTCTATGTAACGGTCCATATTTACATTTGAATTTCGACGTTACGTCATGTGACTTTTGACATTTTTGACATATGGATCAGAGGTGTGGGGCTTTCATAACTCATCAGATATTGCTAAAGTTCACTTAAAATTCTTAAAACAAGTTTTAAGCGTTCGTCAGCAAACATCAACTTCGGCAGTACTTGGTGAATTTGGCAGATTTCCCTTGACAGTATATCGCAAAATTCGATTCATAATTAAATTTTGGTATAGAATTATGAAAGCCCCTGACACACTTTTTAAAATAATGTTTATAAAAGATTCAAATGGTAATGTGACTAATTCATGGACAAAAACGTTATGAAAATGTTGTCTGATTTAGGTTTTGGAAATTTATGGAACAATATTAATGTTACAAGCATCCAATTAAATAATATTATACAAAGAATTTATGATCAGCAATTACAACAATGGTGTTCTGAGCATAGTAGTTTTCCTAAATTATGTAGTTACAATTTATTTAAATTTAACTTTAATCAAGAAAAGTACTTAAATGTTGTAAATAACATTAATCATCGTAAAACATTATCAAGGTTTAGATGTTCATCCCATAAATTGTTAATAGAAGTAGGAAGATATAGAAATATTGATAGGAATTTACGTATTTGCACTAAATGCAATATGAATCAAATAGAAAACGAATATCATTTCTTATTAGTTTGTCCATTCAATAGTGAATTGAGAGGTCAATGTTTTCCTCGGTATTATTGTCATTGGCCAACCGTTAATAAATTTATATCAATTATGCAACTTTCGCAAAAGAAAATAATTGTTAATTTAGCTAAGTTTATCTATTGTGCTATGTATAAGAGAACATCAAACAGTTTATTTTATGAATGTAGGTATTTGTTTCTATATTAATATAGTCTTTATTTTCTTCTGTGACTCATATTGACATTTTCATATTTTGTATTAGTTATGTTAACTGTTTACCATACTTTTCTTATGTTATGTAAATATGATATAACCGCCACGGTAACTTGGCGATGAACATGTATTTGTTTTCGCCAATAAAATATTTGACTTCACTTGAATATTATTGACAACCCGATTAAAGTTCGGCAGTTTTCCTATAATACCTCTACGGAAACTTTCCGTTAAATCAGGGTTCCACTTAACATGGGTTCTCTTAATGTGCATATCGTCAATTAAATCTATTGCTCTTATATATAAAATGTTAAATGATAACTTGGCATGATCTGGCCATTCACAAAAAGGGTGGCCTTTAAACTCGTTTACACAATACCTGTCACTATTATACAATAACACTTGAACCTGTATGACAAGTAAATGTAAAATCATTACTATTATATAATCGACCGTTAGCAATCCGCAAGTACGTAGATTTACATAGCTCAATTAATTTTAAACCAAACTTATTACAAACGGTATCAACTGAGTCACGTGACAAGGGAATATCAGGTAAATAGTTGTCATCGTCAATGAAATCAATGTTACGATCACATACAATATAATCTGCACGAGCGCCCGTGCGTGAGTTCCAGTCACCAATCATAAACACTTTGTCCTGTGAGTGAAAATCATTAATATCAGTTTGCAATAATGTGAAAAAGTCGTCATCTGATAAATTATACATGGGCGAATTTACTATTGGTTTCCATCACGCACTGGGTGGCCTTTTATGTATAACGTGTCGAAGCTAAGACAAGCACGTTTGCCGTCACGTAACGCCTGATTTAATTTTGGAAGATGCGATCTACGTCGATCAGCAATTTCCACGGGAAAATGTTCAAACACAAAACGCAGTAGCCAATATAAATGGATTTAAATCAATACAGGATTGGAGCAGTACCTCTAGACGCTTGCAGAAATCATGATCACAAAATAACCAAATATCGTTTCTTTCGCCGATTTTTACATTTTTCATTCATTATCATACATAAATCGGTGTGAAAAGATGAATGTGACCTATTTCAGTTCATTCCGTTGGGTAAAATGGCAAGATTTTAGCATTTTATGATTCAAGCGCCTTGCCCGGTATGTACCGGAATACGGTATTTAGTGTGGTGCTCTAATCTTTTTTTAGTCTCACTCAATATAAATAGGAAAAGATAATTCATTTTACGCAGTCAGTCACAACAGTGGTCCGGAAAAATCCCTGATTTTGATTTTGATTTTGATTATGCTCTGGAAACAGTTTTTAGTTTTAAAGTAATAGTGACCTTGACCCTTGACCTTGTGACCCAAAAATTAAAAGGGGTCTTCAACCTAATATGGACATTCATCCTATGAAGTTTGAACACTGTGGGCCAAATTGAACTTAAGTTATGTTCCGGAAACTGTTTTCAGTTTTAAGGTAATAGTGACCTTGACATTTGACCTTGTGACCCTAAAATCAATAGGGGTCTTCTACCCAATATGAACAATCATCCTATGAAGTTTGAATATTGTGGGCCACATGGAACTTAAGTTATGCTCCAGAAACTGTTTTCAGTTTTAAAGTAATAATGACCTTGACCTTGTGATCCCAAAATCAATAGGGGTCTTTTACCCAATATGGACCATCATTCTATGAAGTTTGAACACTTTGGGCAAAACAGGCCGGAAATTGTTTTCAGTTTTAAGATGATAGTGACCTTGACCTTTGACCTCAAAATCAATAGGGGTTTTCTACCAAATATGGATAATCATCCTAAGAAGTTTGAATATTGTGGGCCAAATGGAACTTAAGTTGCTAACGGACGGACGGACAGACGGACGGACGGACGGACGGACGGACGTTCTAACATTTGTATTATTGTTGGTTATTTTGACAGACAGACGGACGGACGCCAGTGGGTATAACATATTATGCCCGAAATTCTTTCGGGCATCTAAAAACGGATTAGAGCACCACACAAAATACCGTATTCCGGTATATAAATTTTTATGTATGATAATGAAATAATTGAAATATAATAGTTTCGTTAAACTTTCTCTAATTTTGTTACATTTTAACATGATGTATGATAACATTCACTTTCTTTCCCTTAAGAAGCAAAATTAACGTATGACGACATTTATTTTTGCCTGTTATTCCATTTAGTAATGATAGTCTTTTCATCCGCATCAGATATAGTCCAGCTACAGTGAAAATTATATTTTATAAATTTCACTGGTGGTTTATAAGAATTTATTTTATGATTTTCAGTGGATTACTGTTATCAAAATATAATTTCACACTCATCAATGACGAAACTACTTTTTTAAGATTTTTCCCCATGTGGTACCTCAATTTTATTTTTGCTGACTATTCTGACAATGTCAGGCTGTTTAAAGAAAAGCAAAGCTGAAATTGATAAATAACTTAAATGTCAAAAGTAATAAAAAGAAGAAAACTTACAGTAAGTTGCTTCTATTCATTCAAATTACTAATCACCAAATATCGTCTCTTTAATTTTTTGTTTCATTTTTACAGTCTGAAAAATACATTCCTTCCACATGCAAAACTGCTTTTGGTGACATTTGGGAATATTTAAGTATTCTACGAGCAATAACTGCCGTATGCTTTATGAAAACTTTAAAAGCAATGGCAGCTTTCAGTCGAAGAATATGTAAACAACCAAGCGTTCGTAAGGCTTCCAAGTTTTCCAATTTCCTATCCACTTTTTTGAATGTTTACACATCTGCCAACTCTTATTTATTGTCTGTTACAATCCTCAAATAAGTTTTCTTTCTTTTAAAAACGTGTATGACTAAGAAATCCAAATGATATCCCTCTGAATCAAACACAATTATTGTCCTCCAGTGAAATACACAACTTTAAAAATGGCGGCCGCTTACATTTAACAAAGCCAGGTCTAATATAAATTCGCAGTCAGTAACAGAAATATGAATGGATGGTTGGACTTTTTCTCCTACTAGAATTGCGGTCAGACATATTCTTTTAATAAAATGAATACTATCACCACCATTTAACGTTGATTGTGGAACTTATTTTTCAGCCCATGACTTCTTGTATTTAATGAGAAATTCGACTTTTTGAGGCTCTCAAAGGGGAAAACAGATTTTAATATTAACGTAAATATTGAGAAAATTTCGTTTTAACTTGTTTTTAAGCACAAAATAAAAAGAAAATTTGTTTGTTTGTTGTGTAAGATGTAATTTTATTTCATCTCGTGAACTTTAAAAACAGTATTCTCACTCGTGGCTACGCCACTCGTGAGAATACTGCTTTTAAAGCCCACTCGATGAAATAAAATTTCATCTTACACACAAACAAACAAATATTCTCTATATAATCATCTGATATATTACAGTTAAAGATCGGCAAGCATGAAATAAAGGATATCATTTGCATATGTTAGTCACACATCATTTTTTAAGAAAGAAAACTTATTTGAGGAAAGTTACAGAAAATAAATAAGTGTTGATAGTTGTGTAAACATTCAAAAAGCGGCTAGGAAATTGGGAAACATGGAATTGTTGAAAAGCTGCATAACGGACACTGGGCTGTTTACTTGTTCTTCGGACTGATGGCTGTCATTGATTTTCAAGTTTTCATATTGCACTAGGCAGTTATTGCTGGTAGGATACTGAAATATGTCCATATGTCACCAAGAGCAGTGTTGCATGTGAAAGGAATTGTAATTTTCAGACTGTAAAAATGAAACAAACAAATTTTGAGGCGCTATTTGGTGGTTAGTAATTTGAAAGAATTGAAGTAAGTTTTCTTCTTTTTATTAATTTTGAAATTTTAAGTTATTTATCAATTTCAGCTTTGCTTTTCTCTAAACAGCCCCGACAATGTCAGAATTGTCAGCAAAAATATAAATGAGGTACCACATGGGGAAACATTAAAAAGTAGTCTCGTCGAAATTATATTTTGATATTTTTCACTGATTGTGAAATTATCAAATTTATTTCATGCTTTTCGGTGGTTTATAGAAATATCAGTGAAACAAAACTGATAATTTTACTGTTTTAAACAGTGAAATTATCAACTTGATAATTTCACTGTTTTGAATATTTGAGCCCGTTACATTGTTTCATTAAAATACGAGCGTTCACAGTACTGGAAACCAACTTAATGATGTGACGTCGTAAATGACGTCACGTTGTATTATTATTTGGCGCACTTGTCATTAAAGTATAAGGTTAAACTGTCTTTTTAAACATTTCTTTGCATATAATAAAAAGATAATTTGTTTAGTTTAGTTTAGTTAGCTGCGCCACTCGTGAAATATACCTTTTAGTACTCACTCGGTGAAATATATTTCGATCTTACATTAAACTTACCAAATATCCTCTATACAATTTTCACAGATAAATCATTTATTCACTGAAAAGCATAAAAAAGGTTAATCTATTTATGTGTGACCGTGTCACTGATTTTGTCGTATGATCTTGTTGTTGTTTTTAGCAATACTCACAATATCAAAATCTTCAGATCCCTCTGATGCCAAAGAAACTTCAAAAGCGGCACCATGCTCAACATCTATATAATATGCCATGGTCTGAAATGGATGATAGAGCAATTAAAAATATATACCTACAGATAGTTTCCGTTTTTACAATATTAATCTCCCTTGCCAACAGTTGTAGCCATTATTGGCGTCCGCGCCGAAGCATGGACCCTTCTGAAATGAAACAACTTTGCTTCTTTAAAATGAAGCATGCGAGATGTCTTTTTGCTGCCGTGGTTCGAAAATATTTGTGGATATTTTTTATAAATTACAATTATTTAACAAAATAGAATTTATTAAATATATTGAATATAGTATCATAATGAAAGATTGTTTAACACTTCATTTCTTAAAATATTTTGAAAGATTATATGCCGGAGAAATGGACTTTTTTCTTGGCGCACCCGCACTCCAGAGCAAGCCCATTGGTCGGCGAATTTTTGCTAGGGTTTACTTATTGTGACGGCAGAGAAAGGGAAAGCGACAAAAATATCATATTCAGATGCTCGTTTATTGGTTCCTTTTTTTCCGGGGTTTCATATTGTGACAAAGGAGAACGTGTTTTATGTTTGACTATGATACAAAAGAGAAAGAACATCAAAACACTCGGCAATCTGATTAATACTTGGGGGCTACGCCCCTCATACAAATCAGATAGTCTCATGTTTCGATGCTCTTTCAATTATTAAATTTAAAATAAATTATATATTAATATATATGTTAAAAGTTGTTTCAAATCAAAAGTTTTTTGTAAAATTCAATAAGCAAATTTTCGGTTGATGTCGGTAAGTATATGGAAACATTTCTACTACATTTTCAAAAACGGGCATAAAGTTTTTTAATCAAATAATTTTAGTCCAGGATTTACATAGAAAATGTATATAAACAGTATATATAGCTGCATGCCTCCAACCACAATATTTGATGAAAATCAAACTTGAGTAAAATGTGTGCCATTTGTTCCAAAATATCTCCGTTGCGTTATTAAGTCATACCAGTTCAAAAGCAAACAGGACGTTTCTTTCCCAAACCAAATCGGCCCCTATGCAAAAATCAGCCCCTAGGCGTTTCGGTCCTTTTCCGCGAGACTTTTCGGCCCTTTTTTTAATTACATTTAAAAATGAATTTTTAAACTTAAAGTTGTTAGAAAAATGTAGTATATTGATTGATTGATGGCACACAAACAATATTTATTTTATATTTAGGTATGTTTTTTTTTAAATGTGTAACAAATTAATTATTTAATAATTGCTAATTAGCGGTTAGTAATATCAAAGAAAACTTCAAATGTTTTTAAACTTATGATTTGCTATAATTTCTTGATAATATTTTAGATTATTATCATATCGTTCTGATTGTAAATCTGTCACTTTTATTGTAAAAAAGTGTTATTTGTTAAAAAAAATGCCTGTTTACAATGTATTGTTTGTTTTATTTCATGAAAGTACAAGTATCATTTTTAACTGTTATGTGCTGTTTTGTATTGCTGAAACTCGTCATTTACTATTAATTTAATAGTTGTTGATAATAAATATTTGTTTTATGTATTGTTCTTTGTCTTGCTTTTTAAATGTTCAAGTTAAAAAAAAAGCTTGTTGATAATAAGCAGGTGAAAATCTTTTTCAGTGTTTGTGTACTATGTTTTGTTTAATAAAGTTTATGTTCTGTTCTATTTGTTTTGATCACTACTACTTTAAAAGCCTCATTCAATTACAAAATCATAAATTTAATTATTCAATTAATTCTCCCATTCCCTTACTTCATTCATTTTTTGAAATGCTATTAAAATTCTGGCATAAAACACGTAAAGGTAAAACTTATTATTACATGCTTTTCGGTGGTTTATAGAAATATATCAGTAATATAAAACTGGTAATTTCACTGTTTGAAACAGTGAAATTACCACTTTGATAATTTCACTGTTTTGAATTTAAGCCCCTTACGTTGTTTCAGTGAAATACCAGCGTGCACAGTACTTGGTACCAACTTAATGACGTGACGTCGTAAATGACGTCACGTTGTATTATTATTTGGCGCGCTTTTCATTCAGTATTAGGTTAAATGTCTTTTTAAAACGTTTCTTTGCATATAATAAAAAGAAAATTTGTTTAGTTTAGTGTAAGATTGAAATATGTTTCACCTTGTGAACACCAAAAGTTCATATTTCACTCGTGGCTGCGCCACTTGTGAAATATACCTTTTGGTGCTCACTCGGTGAAATATATTCCGATCTTACACTGAACTAAACAAATATCCTCTATTTCTTAACTAAATATTGGGCCGATTTGGTAAAGGGCCGAAACGCCCGGGGCCGAAACGTCTTGGGTAATTTGAGGCCGATACGTCTTGGGGCCGAAATGACTCGAAATCTTTCAAAAGTTTAAGGAGCAGCAAAATTTCGGCACACGGTTCACTCGGTCATAATTTTTATAATAGTGCATGGTGATACTGTAGCTATATATATTGTTCACTGTTACTATTTATCAGAACATGAAATAGTAAAGAACTATTCAGAAAACATACGGTAATCGACTTATACAGTTTAAAATATTAAAACGGTATGAAACATTCACGTGGGCTAAGTAACGCATATGATATTTTTAGATTTTTCTATGTACCAATTTGTTCACTTCGATGTTGATTTTTCGTTTAAGTTAAGTCGTATTCTGAAACGGAGCGTGCGCAAAACATTTTTTGTAGACTGCTCCTAATGACTTTACACTTTAAATGAGATTCATTTACTACAATCAGATACGCAAAAATGGATGCCGCCAGCAATCAGTCTGAACACTGTGGAGAGGTCTGATGACCTCTCCAATCAGATTTTGTGAAAGGGCGACAGCAACTTCTCGGGCCTTTTCGACGGTCATAATAGCCGATTATTCCGATTGGTATTAGGGTGTTTGATTATCAAAAAGAAAATGTCCCGAACAATGAATAGCAAACTATGTTCGTGAAGTTTGCAGCCTAGCAGCTAGGCAGTCTAGCAGCCTGAAGTTGGTAACCTAACAGTCTGGCAGCCTAACAGCCTGTGGTTGGCAGCCTAACAGCCTGACAGCCTAGCAGCCTTAAGATAACTAAGAATAGTACAAACATGAAAATGGTCGGAAATAGATCATTCCACGCCTTTTTTTCAATATCGTGATCTTTATTTTTTAAGATGTTGAACTTTTTCTTTCTGACGCTTCAAAATTTGTGGTGAAGTTAGCAGCCAAACATCCCAGCCTAAAGAAAACTAAGGATAGTACAAACATGAAAAACGTCGGATATACTTAGACCATTCCACGTCTTACTTAAATATCGGGATCTTTAATTTTTAAAATATTGAACTTTTTTTTTTTTCATTCTGACGCTTCGAAATTTGAGAAGTTAGCAGCCCGGCAGCCTAACAGCCTGTTAGCCTAGCAGCCTAAAGAAAACTAAGAAAAGTACAAACATAAAAACGGTTGGATATACATCAGTAGCACTTCCTTAGATCATTCCACGCCTTTTTAGCAATATCGTGTTCTTTATTTTTTAAGATGTTAAACTTTATCTTAACATATTTTTTTTTCATTCTGACGCTTCGAAATTTGTTAAAACAGCATATTAAGCCCCGCCTATAAAGTAAGCACGAATTTCTGATAAAGCGTTATCATCCTGATAGACTATAGTGTAGCGGAAATGATCACTGTCCCTGTGAATGTGACTTGTAAATAGTGCATATGCTTAATCCTCCTTATAAATATATATATGTATGTCTAAAAATGGAAAAAGATTTTAAAGTCTTCAGGACATACGAAGGATGATCAAAAATAAACCGGACTGGGACTGTCAATTCAAACTTATCACACACCCGTGCTGATTTTGCGACTCCGTAAAAATGGTATTGCACGGCCGTGCATATATTTTGACGTGACGTCATTAGCGTTATACAAACATAGTGTCAAGACGCGCTAAATGTTAGCGTTGTACTATAGGCGCGTCATTGAAAAATGACTCTTATTTTACTTTAAACGGTCTTTATTTTGGGAATGTGATAAATAGAATATTAAATTCGTGTAAGTTCATTACTGAATTTATTGCACTCGTTGAATAAAATAATATTATGCTCGCCAGAGGCTCGCATAATATAATTTTATTCAACTCGTGCAATAAATTCAGTATTGAACTTACACTTATTCAATATCCTCTATTTATATCACAATTAATCGGAAAACTATGCCATATCTAATTTGATAACGCAACTAGCTTGTACGTTACAGCGAATACAAAAAAACATGGCAGAGCACACCCTTCGCAGTACATAAATTTGCGCTATAAATAGGCGCTTTATGAAGCGTATATTTTACAATATGACACAATAAGATTTCAAAATACGCCGAAACGTCATGTTCAACATTTGACGCTGTCAGAAAAATTGCTTCGTTTAAACCACAATTATCTCTGCAATCACAATTCATATGTCACATGTGAAAAAAATGCGTTAAAATTATGCCGTCAGAACGTCACGAAATTCGATCAATAAGAAATTGTGTCAATAGTAAGTCGAGAAAATGTCTAAAACATATATAGAAAGGGATAATGGAAAAAGGGAAAAGGTTAAGGTAGCAACAGTTAAGTTTTTGATTGAAATAAATGATTAAGAAAGGGTAATTGAGAAATTGAAAATAAGAAAAATAAGGGAGAGGCAGAAAGAAGAAATTTTCAAGGACGTTGGTGACGTCAATCGCCGAGAGACGTTGAAAAGTGGCAGGCTATTGACTGCGGACATTATAAACGATGTTCGACAGTAGTTACGGGACTGATTAAGGAATGATAAATATCAATATTTATTTATCACACTGGCAAGCGGTTGGTTTATGGAGATTTCATCACAGAAGCGGTGGATAAAATATAGCCGTTTGCTGCTGTCGGTAAATTTATGACTGAATTACTTTATGTTTTAATGTTTTACCGGAAACACCTAATGAGACTGGAGCCCACATATGTACTTTTCCAGCTTATTACACGCACACGGTGCAATTCATTGCCATTTTTGCTAACACTTATGTACAGTTTGACGTGGGGAC